TATATAACATACCTGGGGTATGGTGACCGTCAATGACAACTCTTATTTCCCACTCCACTTGTACTAGAGCAGATATTGAGACTGCAAAGATAAATGAGCCAGGGCTGGAGAGATGGTTCATTAAGAGCACTGGTTGCTCTTGCAGAGACTCAGGTTCAGTTCCTAGCACCCACATGGTGGCGTGAGCCACAGTCCACACACAATTCCTCCTTCACTGAGCTCACAGTCTAATGGGAGGGGCTGAGAACACAAGAACAGCTAAGGTAGCTGTGCACCCCACACCCTGGGGAGGACAAGGGGAAGGGGCTACATCACATCTGCCCCGCTGAGGAAGGCAGAAGCAGGAAAGGATTCACAGCATCCTGTAAAATGACTGTGTTTGCCAGGTGGAGAATGGAAGGAAGGATATTCCAAGTTGAAGAAACACCAATGAAAAGGAAGAGGCCTGAGAGCAAAAGGTATGTGCAGAATTAGCACCGGCTTGCTGTGAGAGGAGCAAAGAAACATGGCGTGGGGGTGGGGTCCTGTATAGAAATGAGCCTGGTTTTTGCTTCTCAGCATGTTTACATCCCATGTGGAATTAGTCATGTTTTGGTATCTGGGGAGGGCGGTTGGTACCCAGACCTTCTCAGACACCAGAATTCATAGATCTGATACATTTTGACATATGTACTTTAAATTATCTTTCTCTAAAACCAGGTCAGATGCTGCATGGCTGTAATCCCAGTATTTGGGAGATGAAGGCTGGAGAAGTAGAAGTTCAAGACCACTCTTGGCTACATAGTTTGAGAGTAGTCTGGGCTACCTGAGACCCTGTGTGGGCTTCCTCTCTCCCCAAATTAGATTACTTGTAATTTACAACTAATACAATGTAAATAAGTGTTTTGTTTTTTAGTTACATTGTGTATGTGTGTGTGTGTGTGTGTGTGTGTAGCATAGCTCTGGTGTGGCAGTCAAATGACAACTGGTGGGTACCAGCTCTCTTCCTTCTGCCATGCAGGTCCCAGGGATTGCATTTAGGTGGTCAGACCCAGTTGTAGGTGCCTCCACCTACTGAACCATCCTGCCCTATATGGTTTTTTTTTTTTTTTTTTTTTTTGTCTTTTTGAGACAGGGTCTCCTTGTAGCCCCAGCTGTCCTGGAACTCACTATGTAGACCAGGCTGGCCTTGAACTCACAAAAATCCACCTGCCTCTGCCTCCCGAGTGCTGGGATTAAAGGCATGTACCACCATGCCAGGTGCCCTATATGGTTTTTGAAAGAGGATTTCTTTCACTATATAGCCAGGATATAGCCTTGCCTCAGTCTTTGGAATTACAGGCCTGTGCCACCACACCATTTATTTGTTTACTTATATTTTATATGTATGAGTGTATTACCTGCATGTATGTTGTGCAATGACTGTGAAGGTCAGAAGAGGGCATTGGATCCCTGGAACTGGAGTTATAGATGGTTGTTATTTGCCATGTGGGTGCTGGGGACTGAACCCAGGTCCTCTGTGAGAACATCCAGTGCTCTTTACTACTGAGCCATTTCTCCATGGCTGGAGAATACAGATTCAGGTTACCCCAAATTCCATGTTCCAGTATGGAAGCAGTTTCGTGAAGTTTGTGTACTAACAGAACAAAGAAAAGTCATAAATCAAGACACTTTTCAAATACATTGTGGAAACATTAAGTAGGCAGATACAGCAAAAGAAAAATCTCAGCTATAGGCCTCATGTGCTATCTGATGACAGCCTTTGGTTAGTGGCAGTTGGTGGTTTGCTAAGTTAATACATTTCAAAAGATTTTTGTGCCAGTCACAAGATGTTAAGTCAGAAACAAGGATGGGCAAGGAGTGGCTATTTAGGGGGCTAAAGATGTCCCAATATAAATGGTAATTAGGCTCTGAACCTGCAACAATCCAAAGTCTCTACAGTCATTGAAATTCTAATCAACTGATCAACCTTTGTAGAATATTCAGTTTTAAGCTGCAGTTTTCTGGGAGATTTCGTTCAATAATAAATAATAAATTGTGTATGAGGTAGGGATGGAGAGGTAGCTTCTGGGGCCTTGTATTAGTCACTTTTCTGTTGCTGTGATAGAAACACTGACCCAAGTAATTTATCGAAGGAAGGGTTTATTTGAGCTTACGGTTCCAGGGCAATTACAGTCCATCATGGCAGGGAGGCATGGTTGCTGGAGGTGGTGGGAACAGGAGCAGCTGAAGTGAAGCTCTCACATCACGCAGGCACAGGAAGCAGGAGAGCAACTGGCGATCTGTCAAGGCTTAAGGACTCTCTAAGCCCACCCCCAGTGACGTGCTTCCTCCAGGATGGCCATACCTTCTAAAACCTCCCAAAACAGCACCACCATCTGGGTAGAGAATGTCCAAATACTTGGAGCCTATGGAGGACATTATCATTCAAACCATCACAGGCCTCTTGCAAGTGAGGGAGTAGGATCCTAAGACTTGTGTCTTGTCCTGTGGTGTATCTTTGGTATGCTGACTTTGCATGACTGCAATTGCTATATACTTTTCCCAGTAGCCTAAGGTGTACTTCCCAGCCTACCTCTGCCTCTCCAAGCCTAGCATCCTCTATGAGCCCTCACTACCACCCCATAGTGTACCCGTGTAACAGAACCCCTCTGAAAGACCTCGAAGTAGCCTCTCTCGGAGAGCATCTTGGAAAACTCAGCCCTTAGTGTCTTCTCCCACCTCTCTGACAGAAATATCAAAGTGCTGTTAATGTGTTTCTGCCCAAAGCTGGTGGTAATTGCCTTGGAATGCATCAATACATTCTTATTCCCATTTTATAGATGAAGGAATAGAGGGTTAAGTCAATCAAGCTGAACTCAGCTGGGTCTCGCTGACCAAACCCAGCCCACAAGGGGAAAGGTGGATGTAATGACCAAGGCTGGGAGTTTGTACTGGACTTGAGAGTGTGAACTTTATTCCTCAGATAATGGGGAGCTAACCCAGGCCCTGGCCCAGGGGAGGTGCTCCATAGCACTTCTCAAAACTTGTCAGACTTATTTGTTTGCTTTCTTTGTTGTTGTTGTTGTTGTTGTTAGTCTCCCTCTAATGGAATGGAAGCAGGTGGGGCAAGGCCTTTGTTTTATTCACTGCTGTAGACTCCCTGGAACCTTCTAAAGATGCAGTAAGCATCTAAGGAGGGAGGGAGGGAGGGTTCTTAGAACTGAAATCTAAGCATTTAATGTGCATTATCTTATTTAATGTCCAAACAGCCTTTTGAAGTAAAGACTATTCCCATGCACCCAGATAAGGCTCAGAAAGAATAACTTCTTTGAGGTCATGTGGCTAGGCAAGTGGCAAAGCTAGTACATATACCTAGACAGTTTGGAATCCATGACTGCAGGACCTGGGCATTTGACAATAGATAGGAGCTATAAGAAGCTATTTTGGGGACTGGAGAGGTGGCTCAGTGGTTAAGAGCACTGACTGCTCTTGCAGAGGACCCAGGTTTGGTTCCTAGCACCCACATGGTGACTAACAGCATTCAACTCCAGTTCCAGGGGAATCCCATGTCCTCTTCCGACCTCTGTGAGCATTGCACAACATAGGTACACTTACATACATGCAGACAATGTAAAATAAAAATAATAACTTTTAAAAAAAAGCCATTCTGGGGCCATGCATGGTGGTGCTCCTTTAATCCCAGCACTTGGGAGGCAGAGGCAGATGGATATCTGTGAGTTCAAGGCCAGCCTGGTCTACATAGTGAGTTCCAGGACAGCTGGGGGTACAGGGAGACCCTGTCTCAAAAAGATAAAAAAAAAAGAAAAAAAGAAAGAAAAAGAAAAAGAGGGGCTGGAGAGATAGCTCAGTGGTTAAGAACACTTGCTGCTCTTACAGAGGACCTAGGTTTGATTCCCAGCACCCCCAGGGCAGCTAACAACCTTCTGAAACTCCCCTTCCAGTGGAATCCCATGCCCTCTTCTGACCTCCACAGGTATTACACTTATAAACATGCAGGCAAATGTACTCATAACATAAAAAATTAAAAAAAAATTTTTTTTTGAAAAGAAGAAGAAAAAAGGGAGCCATTCTGGTAGAAGGAAAGGGAAAGATGGGGTCAAGAAAGCCTTGAGGCTGAGACCCAGGCCAGTCAGTTGAGCCAAGCATCTGTGACTGCCTTTCTGTGAGCATAACTTTCACTTTTTTTTTTTTTTTTTTTTTTTTTTTTTTTTTTTTTTAGAACTCACTATGTAGACCAGGCTGGCCTCGAACTCACAAAGATCCACCTGCCTCTGCCTCCCATGTGCTGGGATTAAAGGCCAGAGCCACCACACCCGGCCAACTTTCACTTTTGATTGCCTTCCAATTCCAGGTCTCCACTGAGGATGAAGTTGTGACATCAAAGTCTTCCAGCCCTTAGCAGTCATCTGCCCCTGAAGCCGTAGGCCACACACGCCCAATGCTCTGCCTCTGCTTACTTTTGGTCAGACTCTGGAGAGCCTCCAGGGTACCACCCTGGAGGTAAGCCATGCTCAGACCTTGGTGTGCCCCATGATGCCTCAGTCTAGCTTCTCTACACATATTGGCACCATGTTTGCCAACTCCTCAGCCAACGCCTCTTCTACCAACAGCTCTGAGATCCCGTGCCCTGACTATCAGAGCACCCATCATCTGCACATGGTGGTCTACAGCCTGGTGTTGACGGCCGGGATCCCACTCAACGCCCTGGCCCTCTGGGTCTTCCTCCGGGTGCTGCGCATACAGTCGGTAGTGAGCGTGTACATGTGCAACCTGGCGGCCAGCGACTTGCTCTTTACCCTGTCGCTGCCTTTGCGCCTCTCCTACTATGCAAGGCACCACTGGCCCTTCCCTGACTTCCTGTGCCAGATGTCGGGCGCCATCTTCCAGATGAACATGTACGGCAGCTGCATCTTCCTGATGCTCATCAACATAGACCGCTACGTGGCCATCGTGCACCCGCTGCGACTGCGCCACCTGCGGCGGTCCCGCGTGGCGTGGCGGCTCTGCCTGGGCGTGTGGGCGCTCATCCTGGTGTTTGCCGTGCCCACTGCCCGCGTGCACAGGCCCTCGCCCTGCAGGTACCAGAACATCACGGTGCACCTGTGTTTCGAAAGTTTCAGCGATGGGCTGTGGAAGGGCCGGCTGCTGCCGCTCCTGCTGCTGGCGGAGACGCTGGGCTTTCTGCTGCCTCTGGCGGCCGTGGTCTACTCGTCGTGCCGGGTCTTCTGGACACTGGGGAGGCCCGACGCCACGCAGAGCCATCAGCGACAGAAGACCGTGCGCCTCCTGCTGGCCAACCTCGTCATCTTCCTGCTGTGCTTCGTGCCGTACAACGCCACGCTGGCTGTGTACGGGCTGCTGCGGGCAGGACTGGTGATGGCCAGCCAGGGGGCCCGAGAGCAGGTGCGCGGGGTGCTGATGGTGGTGGTGCTGCTGGCCAGCGCCAACTGCGTGCTGGATCCGCTGGTGTACTACTTCAGCGCCGAGGGTTTCCGCAACACCCTTCGCAACCTGGGGACTCCGCTCCGTGCCAGAACTTTGGCCACTAACGGGACTAGAGGAGCGCTCACCGAAGCACCTTCAGAGTCCACTCAAACCACTGGGCATGATGCCACCAGTCAAGGTCTACTCCACCCCCCTCATCCTGGAACCCCTTTTAACCAGTGCCCCCACGATACGGCCCTCTGAAGCTCATGGGAGCATAGTGTGACAGGCTTAGAAGTGTGCATTTCAGAGAGGTGGGCTAGGCACTTGGACTCCTGAGGCAATGCCAGCTCTAGTGCGCAGAAGGGAACACGTGTGGAAGCAAGGGTAGAGGCAAGAAAGTGCTGCTGGTGACAACTTCAACCTGGTGGATATTACAGGAACTCCTCTTTAGTGTGTAGGAAGCCATGCAAGGAGGCTGCCCATGGCTAAGAGCTGGTAAATGGAACAGAAGATGGATATCCTGGATTTAAATCATCAGTCTGAGAGCTGAAGAGCCCCAGACCTTAGTGGATCAACTACACAGAAATTCATTTGCTGACTTTAAAAACAAAGCAAGCCAGGTGTGGTGGCATGCGGAGGTAGAGGCAGGTGGATCTCTGTGAGATAGAGGCCAAACCTGGTCTACATAGTTTTCCAGGCCAGCTGGGACTACAGGGAGACCCTGTTTCAAAAAATATAAAATCTGGGTGTGGTGGCACATCCCTTTAATCCCAGCACTCGGGAGACAGAGGCAGGTAGATCTCTGTGAGTTCCAGGGCAGCTGGGGCTACAGGGAGACCCTGTTTCAAAAAGAATAACAAAAATACCAAAACCAAAATAAAGCAAGATACAAACTTCAGTGTTGAATGGCACCCAGAGCCCAGTGCCTGAGCATGCTTGGCCAGTGCTTTACCATTGAATTGCATCCCAGCCCACATCTGCTGACATCTATGCTGATTTGAGGGCCATGGATACCATAGCACCAGGTTCCCTGCTCAGGGGGGAGGCATAATACAAAGGCTTATTTGATATGGACAGAATTGGGTTCCTTCTTATTTATTGACTTGTAACAGTTTAGGCCCAACACCCAGCATGAGGTAGTTGCGACAGGGCAGAACTGTGGGTTGAGTCTTTCCCTTCATAGTTCTTGGTCCCTTTTCTAGGTCATCCTTTTTCCCTCTATCACTCTCAGGGCCTCCTCCATTCTAGATCTTTAATATTCAGTCTCAGTTCCTCCCTCTCTCTCCCCGTCCCTACCCCTGTGTCTTCTCTCCTCTCTCCTCCCTGTTTCTCTCTCCGCCGCTGCACTAATTCTCTCTCCTCACTCCCTCCCTACCCTCTTTTTTTCCCCTTCTAATCCTCCTTCCTCTCTCTCTCCCCTTCCTATCCCCTCTCCTCTCTTTTTCCTTTCTCTTCTCCCTCCCTGACTTTTAAAGAACATAGTTTGAAGTTAAGCATCAATTCTCAAGCTTTTGGGTTTCAAATCCCTTTGTGCCCGTAGAAATTGAGGGAGTCTTGCTTATTCTTTGTTCTTTTGATACTGAGTGTATAATAAATTAACGCTAATAAGTTTTTAAAAAGTGGAAATACGGAAGCACGCATTCCATTTAGCTGTGAGCATGGTAATTTCATCATGTTTCATGAAACTTTTAAAAGTTCCCTGTATACTTCAGAGATGAAAGTGAAAAAAACAAGCAACATCTTAGTATTATGAATCTAGTTTGACCTCACTGACTTCTTCAAAGATCTGGTCCCTGGATCACACTCTGCGAATTGTACTTGTTTTAAAGTATGAGAGTTCACGTCTAACTTCCTCCAGGACATTATTTTTATGACTCTTGGAAGAGGGCACTAATCAACAAATTAGTTGCTAATCGTGGCCCTTAAGGCTTGGGGCTTTCTGGAGGGTATGGTAGGAACTGTGCACCAAATGTAACATTATCTTGGGCTTACCAGAGCAGCAGTGCGGAGGGGTGGGGTGGGGATGCCTGTGGAATCAGATGCACAAATATGGCCAGGGTGGGGCATCTCTGGGGAAAGAAAAAGGAACTTTGTCACAGCCAGGAGGGAATAGCCTGTCATCTTAGCAAGCTGGAAGCTAGCGATGTGGTTTCCTTCCCCCTTTACCTAAGTAGAGGCAGCTGGTGGAGTTGGCACTGTGACACTGAGAATCACTGTTGTGTGTGTCCTATATGCACTTATGTCCCTGTGTGTCTCAATACATGAGAAAGGTAGAGATAGAGAGATTCCCCATATCTTAGTTAAGTAAGCCTTTGTATGTCTTTATATGCTCTCTCCAGTTGATGATTTACAGTAGTAAAATGACCCCTGGTGGCCAAACCAGGGGCCTGACCTAGATTCCTCTGTGCTAGACTAGTAGTCCAGCCTTTCTCAGTCTCTGTGGAATTTAGCCCTCCTACCAGGTCCTTAACTATCAGCTGCTGTCAAGAAGGCCTACAGGTTAGCACCTGTCTTGTGTCCCCTCATCCTCAGGATTCAAGACTTGTAGTCACAAGTCTTAACCGGAGGGTACAAGCTGCACCAAACCTCCCAAGGAGACTCTCAGGGCTTTGCCTTACTCAAATAGAACTGATCATAATCTTTAAAAATTCCTTGGGGCTGGAGAGATGGCTCAGTGGCTAACAGCTCTGACTGCTCTTGCAGAGGACCTGGGTTCGATTCCTGGCACCCACATGGCGGCTATGAACCGTCCTTAACTCCAGTTCCAGGGGAACTGACGCCCTCTTCTGACCTCCGAGGTATTGCACGACATGGGTGCACTCACATACATGTAGGTAATACACTCATATACATAAAATAAAAATAGTAAATATATTTTTTAAATTCTTAAAAAAAATCTTTGAGGGAGGCTGTGGATGTAGCTCAAATTGTAGAGTGCTTGCCTAGAATTCACAAAGCTCTGGTTTCAAACCCCAGCACCAGATAAACCCAGTGTGGCGATATAGCCTTATAATTCCTGCACTCTGGAAGTGGAGGTGAGAGAATCAGAAGTTCAAGGTCATCTTCAGCTGTTTACAAAGTTCACAGCCTGGGACACAAAAGACTGTCTCAAAAATAAATAAATAAAAATAAAAACATAGTTGGGCATGGTGGCTCATGTTTTTAATCTCAGCACTCGGGAGGCAGAGGCAGACCAGCACTTGGGAGGCAGAGACTGGTGGATCTCTGTAAGTTCAAGGCCAGCCTGGTCTACATAGTGAGTTCTAGGCCAGCTGGGGTTACAGGGAAACACTGTTTCAAAAAGACCCAAAAGTAAAAATAAAAATAACAATAAATTTGAGTTCTTTTATGCACAGGTATGTAAGTGAATTCTAAAGTAAAATAACATGTATTGCCTAACGTATTGTATAACTTGCTTATTTATTTATTCTAATTTTTATGTGTATTGTCTGTCTGCCCCTCACCCATCTCCCTAGATAGAATGTAAGCTGTATGGGAGGGGCAAGGATTTTTGTTTGATTCATTGATATATCTACTAACATCTAGAACAGTGCCTCGTAGAGAGGAAGTACTCAATAAAGATCCATTGAATGAACAGTCAGACCTTGCTGTGAAGTACTTTTACTCTCTAGTGGGGACCACAGAATGGGTGAACAATAATGATAATGAAAGACAGACGATAGAGGAAGGCAGGGGAAGGTGGGAGCAGTTAATTTAATGGGTAATGGGAAGTCCCTGAGGGCTGCCCAGTGAGGTTTGCTCACAGGATAGAACTGTAGGGAAATCAGGAAAAGAAGAGACTGAAAAAAGAGAAAGAACGCTGTGGAAACTGTTAAATAGTTGGGGAGAAGTGTAGTCAAGGCCTGTGGAAGCAGTGGGTAGAAGAGCCAGGCATGGTGGTATAGGCCTTTATTCCCAGCACTTGGGAGGCAGAGGCAGGTGGATCTCTGTGTTTGAGGCCAGCCAAGGATGCATAGTGAGACCCTGTTTCAAACAACAAAATAACAACAACAAAAAGGCATAGCAGGACGCAGAGGCAGGCAGATCTCTGAGTGCAATCCAGCCTGGTCTATATAGTGAGTTCCAGGACAGCTGGGACTACACGGAGACCCTGTTTCAAAAAGACCAAAAATTAAAAAAAAAAAAAGATGGAAATGGGTTGTCTCCAGACTGACACCTATGGTGTCAAAGCTCAGAAGGACTGTTTCCACACATTCCAGTGTCTGAAGGGTCTCCATCATGAGAAGAGAAGCAAGAATAAAGAGATATTGCCGGTAGGAAGAATGGACTGAACCTAGCAAGTAGCAGACTGTGGAGATTTTAGAACAACTGAATCTTTGCTATTTTCCCTTAATTCCACAATTAATTACTGAGTGAGCAGCAAGAAGGTGACCATAAGAGGGAAACTCAGAGCCCTGACTGATGCTCTGGGCCAGCCCCATGGAAGGACTAGGAAAATCACAAGGAGGAAGAGAAAATCTCAGGTAGAAGGTAAAAGAACAAGAGCATTAGCCAGGTGTAGTGGCCCAGGCCTGTAACCTCAGCTACTCAGGAGGCTAAGGCAGGGGAATCTTGAGTTCAAGGCCAGCATGGGCAACTGAATTGAGGCCGTCTCAAAATTTTAAAAAGGGCTGAGAACAGGTTTTGCCTAGCATGCTAAAGCCTCAGGTTCAATCTCCATTATGGTGTGGGGGGGCTAGCACTAAGGTTTCTTTTTTTATATTTTATTTATTATTTTTATGTGTATGTGTGTATTGCCTGCATGGTAGGTAAGTGCACCCGTGTCGTGCAGTGCCCTCGGAGGATAGAAGAGGCTGTTGGATCCTCTGGAACTGGAGTTATGGACAGTTGTTAGCTGCCATGTGGGTGCTGGAATTCAAACCCAGGTCTTCTGCAAGAACAGCCAGTGTCCTTAACCACTGAGCCATCTTTCCAGCTCATTTTTTTTTAATGTTCCCTGTTCCCCCTCCCCCCATGGAAGTATTCTGGCCACAGAACATTGTTGTAACACACACCTGTAGTCCCAAGCATCTTTGGAAACTGAGGCAGGAGGATTGAGAGTTCAAGGCCTACTGGGTAACAAATACCTCATCTCAATAAATAATATTTCTGTACACAAGGATTTTAATTTAGTGTTTCTGGTGCCTTTTACTTTGTTTTCCTTTTTTTTTTTTTTTTTTTTTTTTTTTTTTTTGATCTTTTTGAGACAGGGTCTCCCTGTAGCTCCAGATGACCTGGAACTCACTATGTAGACCAGGGTGGCCTCGAACTCACAGAGATCTGCCTGGTTCTGCTGGGATCAGCCTGGCTGTTTCGCTTTTTTGAGGCAGGCTCTTGCTATGTATCCCAGACTGCCTTTGAGTTCTCAACCCTCCTGCCTCAGTTTCTGAAGTGTTGGGGTCACAGGTGGGTACCATCATAGTTTCTAGGATGCCTCATCTTATTTAATTATTGTAATGACCTCTGAGTTAGGGAACATGAGTATTCCCACTTCACAGAGGAAACACTTGGGAGAATGTGAGGTCTTAAGGTCACAGCTAGGAAGTGGCTGTTTCCCAAACTCCCACTTTCTCAGCCTTAG